TTGGTCAGCTCTACACAGCTGGGTGATGCCAACCCCTTCCTTTCTGGAGTTTGTTATGTTTTCAAGGTGGCAGAAAGCATATTTATTCATTACTTATATTGATATACTTAATATCCTAACACAACATTTTACATTCAAGGCGATCAAACTAATTATGAACTTTTGACAAATTTCAATCTCAGGATGTTTGTTGATTCTCTCAATCATTTGCACGTGAATTCAAGCAGCACATCTGATTGTTTGCTGGGGTTTACAGTGATTGAGGTAAACTCTTGAGCCAAAAAGAGTTGGAAAATGATGCACTATTGGTCCCCAACCTATTGCTGAAGGAGTAAGTTGGTCCTTAACATTTGATTATAGTTGCACAATCAGACCCCTACTAAGAAATCATCCAAATCTTGGTCAAACAGTCAATGGCCCTCTTGGAAACACGAATAGTTTCTATTTTCTGTGTACTAAGCTATATTATGAAACAAAACCTAGCCCCTATTTGACAACCATTATTTGGTAAAAACAATGATTTGAATAGTGAGTTTTAGGAGAATGTGTGGTTGAAAATTAGGAAAAAGTTTTGGGTTTAAGTGCAGAATATTTTATTATGTGAGTTTGTGGTTGAAAATAAGTGTGTCGAAAAATGACTTTTCAAATAATGGTTGTCAAGGGGTCTAGTTTCAAAGAATGACAATTTAACTGAGATTTGGACAGTTTCCGTCATTGGAGACTTATTCTGCAACTATAATGAAAGGTTGAGAATCAACTTTTTAAAGATCGGGGGTGGGGGCCAACTTGTTAATGGTGCAATTTTCTCTAGCTATCACAATTTTCTCCGAATGGAAAGAAGATTCTCATGTTTGATTGTTTATTGTCAACCAGAAGAAGCATTGTTACTGTCGGCTTCTGGAACTCCTAGTCAACGTTTGGGCCTATCATAGTGCACGGAAGATGGTTTATATTGATCCTCAGTCAGGTTTGTTGGAAGAGCAACACCCTATTGAACAGCGAAAAGGATTTATGTGGACGAAGTACTTCAATATTACTTTATTGAAAAGTATGGATGAAGACCTTGCAGAGGCTGCAGATGATAACGACCATCCATATGAAACATGGTTATGGCCATTGACGGGGGAGGTTTACTGGCAGGGAATATATGAGAGGGAGAGGGAAGAAAGATACAGGCTAAAGATGGACAAGAAGAGGAAAACAAGAGAGAAACTATTTGAAAGGCAGAAGTACGGATACAAACAGAAAACCCTTGGAGGATAGGGATAGGAATCTGAAGACCTTGTCCAGAGGATTTCGAATTTCTTGATGAACCTCTCGACTTCTAATACGACAGTTGAACCAGTTGGCCTTTCTATGTTTCTCTTGGAAGAAACCTGTGGCTTCATTCTTTGTAACAGCATCGATATACTTTCCACTGACATTATTCTGACTCTACACATACATAGGAGGAGACACGAGGTCGAGTAATGCACATACATGACTCGAGCCAGCGCTTGTGAAGGCATTACAGCTCCAACAGATAAGCAAATTTGATTGAAATTCTTTTGTCACTATTTTAGACATTGCACAAGTATCTGAGCATTTATTCTTTACAGTGTAAATGTCCCTGGTAATAATGGATCCAATTTCCTTATTTCTTTGGGTTCCATGCTGATAAATCCTTTTAAAATCATGTGATTGCCATCTAACTAGCAAATGTGCGAAAGATTATCCCGATGATTTTATCTTGTTTATTTTCTGTGGAGTTAAAAGGATGGCAATTACAGTATTGGAACTTCTCGTGGACTTTCAGGTTAAATATCCATCTTGCTATGGAGCTTTCACAAATGTTTATCCGTTATAGTTGAACTTTAATTTTTTTTTTTATTTTTTTTTTTTAAATTACACTGAACTTTTCGAAATATATTCAGTTGCCATTAAACTTTATTCAAGTTGCCGTTGAATTTATTAATATATTATCTCATTCATCATTCTGTTACTTACCGTTTCAAAAGTTAACGAACTTGATGAACTTAACAAAATATTATTTCATTCACCATTTCAAGTTTCATGTCATCAAATTCGTTAACATTTAAAAGCAGACAGACAGAGTGATGGATTGGATAATATTTGGTAAAATGGTGTAACTTGGATAATTTTTAAAGTTCAATGATGATAGAGAAATATTTCGAAAATGTCAATGGCATTTCAAAAATATATTAAAGTTCAATTACAATTGAAAAACGTTTGAGAAAGTTAACTAGAACCCTAGATTTTCAATATTAGCACTTTGTACGTAGCCTTTTATAAAATTCATAAAGAAAGGAAAAATAAACTTTTGACCAAGATATTAAAAAATGTTGAATGACACTCTTTCTCCAAGTATTCTTGTATATTATGGGCATATAACATTTTTCATAATTATATTTATATTCTAGATTTTAAGGGATCATTTGTTTAGATAAAACGAGAAGAAAAGCAAGGTTTTGTTATTTACAAAATATCTCAAGGATTGGAGGAATGAAATTTGAGAATTTTCACGAGAAAAAATTACTTACTGCAAGAATGTTCATGAGAAAAATTGCCACGAGTTTGTGTTGATTTGACATGCACGTACTCATGAGTTGTCCACTTTTGCTTATTGCGTTCGATTAATTAATTACATTTTTATTTTTGAAATAATCTTATTCATCTAGACGTGATTACCACTAGAGTCCTATTCACTATTAGAATATCTTCAATACATTCTATGAATTGCAATCTTTGTGATAGTTAAATAGAAAGACTTTCAGTTCACATTATCAATATCTATTGAGTAGAAGATCAAGTTCAAAATTTAATCTCCAATGATTTATGACCATAATCAAATTTATTTAATATTAGATAAAGAATTTTTTTAAAAAAAATTTGCTACCTCACGTCATCTACCAGAGTGTTTTGATCTAGGCAAATCTCTATTATTGTTTATTTTTCTCTAATATGTCTAACCTGAATTGGATAACACCGTTTATTTCAGTTTATGTGGCACAAATTTTTAAGCAATCAATGGTTAAACTGGAAATGTTTGTACTGTTAATCACATCAGTCTAGGTGATATTTGAACTCTTAATTTATTGTCCAATAAAATCGTATTGCATTAAATAATGAATTGAGAAGCCCAGTCACCTAGATTGACGAATAACAATACTCTTATTTTTGGACTATCATCACTTGTGTACATCGTTAGTTTATGCCACAATGTAGTAAAGTTGAAATTCATTTTTTTTCATTAAGCCCTGTTTGGCCCCATTATTTGATAGGGTAATTAGCATAAAACATCCCTACTTTTTGATGTTTTTGTGGAAAACGTCCCTACCTTTCATTTTTTGACGGATTACACCCTTACCTTTACCTTTTTTTGTGCAAAACGTCCTTCTGTCAACTCTCCGTTAAAATGCTCCGTTAAATCAAAAAGGTAATTAGCACAAAAGGTCCCTACCTTTCAAAATTATTGTGCAAAACATCCTTACCTTTTATTTTTTAGCATAATTAGCAGAAAAAGTCCCTACCTTTCAATATTATTGTCCCTACCTTTCAATATTATTGTATAAAACGTCCCTATCTTTCATTTTTAGCATTTTTACCCCTACATTTCACCTTTCATTGCGCAAAATGTCATTTTCATCCATTTTTTCAATAAAATGACGATATTACCTTCCTATTAAAATAAAATAAAAAGAAAAGAAAAAAATAATTAATTAATTGCAATCATAGTTCTAAATCTTTCAAAATATTACAAATAAATCATAAATTCTCAACCACCACAATTTTCACAACCTATCAAGCTGCCAACTATAAATCCACATAATACCACCTTTCGGCCACCATGCCCACCGGACTCCACCACCGTAAATGTAGTTGTTTCGGACAGATTAGTGACCAATACTATGGAGGAGGATATTGGGGAGATTGAGGTGACACTGGTGGTGGTGGAGTCCGATAGGTGTTGTAGTCGAAAAGTGGTGCTATATGGATCTATAGGTGGTGGCTTGGTGGGGTTGGGAAAGTGGCGGTAGTGGAGAATTTAGGATTTATTTGTAATGTTTTGAAAGATTTAGAACTATGATTGCAATTAATTAATTATTTTTTTCTTTTCTTTTTGTTTTATTTCAATAAGAGTGTAAAATCGTCATTTTATTGAAAAAATGGATGAAAATGACCTTTTGCACAATGAAAGGTGAAATGTAGGGGTAAAAATGCTAAAAATGAAAGGTAAGGATATTTTGCACAATAATATTGAAAGGCAGGGACATTTTCTGCTAATTATGCTAAAAAATAAAAGGTAGGGACGTTTTGCACAATAACTTTGAAAGGTAGGGACCTTTTGTGCTAATTACCTTTTTGATTTAACGGAGCATTTTAACGTAGAGTTGACAGAAGAACGTTTTGCGCAAAAAAAAGGTAAAGATAAGGATGTAATCCGTCAAAAAATAAAAGGTATGGACGTTTTCCACAAAAATATCGAAAGGTAAGGATGTTTTGTGCTAATTACCCTATTTGATACTATAATTTATGAAATAGTGTTTTTTTGGGAGAATATACGATTAAAAAAGAAGGAATTTATTATTATTATTATTTTTTTGTTTAAGTGAAATATTATTTCATGAAAAATTATGTAGTTGAAAATAAGAGAAAGAAAAATTATAATGTGAAATAATGGAATCCAAACAAGTACTCAACAATTTAATTGTGATCCCGCTATCACATATCTAGTGATGATGGACAGCGTTATTCTTATTTTTTTAGCTTATATTTAGCACCGTTTGGTATTGTAAAAATTAAATTTTCAATAAATTTTGATAAAAGTTGATGAAATATATAATTTAAAAGTTGATAAAAGTTGTGGACCCATAAAATATATGGTTAAAATTAATTATTAATTTTAATATAAATTTTTATCAAGTTTTTTAACCAAATCAAACAGGTGTTTAGACCTTTGTCTTGGGTTTGAATAGGCTATTGGAATTGGGCCTTTAACTCTTCTTTTGTCATAGTTTCTCACCCAACAATCTAGGACGGAAACAGCTCCAAATGTTCCTTATTATATAGTCGCCGATGAGCTTCCCCTCTGCACTCGGACGGTCATCACCATTCCAATTACCAATACCATCCCTGTTAAGAGCCTGCAAAACCATTAAAGAACTAAACATAGTGCATGCCCGTGTCATCTACACAGGCTTAGAGCAAGACAATTTCCTGATTACACAATTTATTTCTCTCTGCAGCCAATTTCCGCCCACCAACCTTAAGTACATCACCAGCATTTTTAACCGAGTTATTAGCCCCAATATTTATCTTTGGAATAATCTGATTAAAGCCCATTGTGAGGATTCTGATATTAGTGAATGTTTCTTGGTTTTTAAGAGAATGAAAAGGGAGTCAACTGTGGGTCCTGATAAGTATACTTTTCCCTCTTTGATTAAGGCTTGCTCTAATGCAAACGCTTTGAGGGAAGGGAGAGTTATTCATGGGTTGAGTGTAAGGTATGGGACAGATGGTGATGTGTTTGTGGGCTCCAGTTTGATTGATTTGTATGGTAAGTGTGAGGAGATTAACTCTGCACGCAAGGTGTTTGATGGAATGAACGTGACAAATGAGGTCTCTTGGACGGCTATGATGGTGGGTTATTTAAATTCTGGAGATTTATTCAAGGCGAAATATCTATTTGATGAAATGCCTGTGAAGAGCTTGGCTACGTGGAATGCCATGATTAAGGGGTTGGTAAGGTTGGGTGAATTAAAGGGTGCTAGGATTTTGTTTGATAAGATGCCGGAGAGAAATAAGGTCTCTTTTACAACAATGATTGATGGGTATGCCAAGGCTGGTGACATGGCTACTGCAAGGTTGTTGTTTGATGAGTTATCAGAAAAGGACTTGTTTTCATGGTCTGCATTGATATCAGGGTATGTGCAGAATGGGAAGTCCAATGAGGCCATGAAAGTTTTCGGCGAAATGTGGGCCATGAATGTTAGGCCGGATGAATTTATAATGGTGAGCTTGATGTCTGCTTGTTCCCAATTGGGGTGTTTAAAGCTTGCAAAATGGGTTGATTTTTACATATGTAACAACTCGTTTGATCTTGGACGCGCTCATGTTGCTGCGGCTCTTGTGGATATGAATGCAAAGTGTGGGAATATGGAGAGAGCGAGTTTTTTGTTTGAGAAAATGCCTAAACGTGATTTGATTTCGTTCTGTTCCATGATACAGGGGTTTTCCATGCATGGGAATGGTGTTCAAGCGGTTGCACTGTTTGATAGGATGATAGATGAAGGGCTAAGGCCTGATGATGTGGCATTCACAGTAATCTTAGCAGCATGTACACGTGCCGGCCTTGTTGACGACGGATCTCGTTATTTTGACATAATGATTAATGAATACTCTCTGAGTCCATCTCCCGATCATTATGCATGTATGGTTGACCTTCTAGGTAAGTCAGGAAAACTGAATGCCGCTTACGAGCTCATTAAATCGATGCCTGTGGAGCCTCATGCTGGTGCTTGGGGTGCTCTTCTTGGGGCTTGTCAGCTACAGTGTGACACTGACTTAGCTGAGAAAGTAGCACATCGACTTTTTGAGCTTGAGCCTCACAGTGCTAGTAGTTATGTCCTTTTGTCCAACATATATGCAGAAGCAAATAGATGGTTGGAGGTATCACATTTAAGGGGCAAAATGAGCGAGAGGGGACTTCGAAAGATACCTGGTTGCAGTTATGTAGAGTTATAAGTCTCAACTCGATTCCACATTTTTGAAGTGTTGTCGCAGTGTAATTCTACTAAGTTCAATGAGTTGGAGACCGACTTTTTGCTTGGTTCTGACACAGTCTGAAGCCAACACATACATTGCGGCAATATAACATTATGGATGAAAGGGTTCACAGTTAATTGATATGCACGAAATATTTGTCCAATAATGGCATTGCTCTATTGACTGAGGGAATTTACATCATGGATTAATCAGTGCTGGCTATAACAGTATTGTAGCCATTGTTTGTTGTGTTATTGGCAGTGTTATTCGACCAAATTGGTTTTTGTGAGTATGGTTATTCATTCCTTGTGAAAATGATCACTTGAAGGAGAAGTGAAACAGGGGAAATAAAAAACGAAGAAAAGAGCTCTCTGTTCACTAAATCCAGTTAAAATATTCTGGATCCTCGCCATTTAGTACCTGAAAGGATATGGTTGAATGGAATGCAAAGAAGTGTTATGCAGCACACTGAAAAAGAAGTTCTATGATGCAGATTTTCTCTGAAAAGAAGTGATTCAGGTTCATCGAAGATGTACCAATTTTCTTTTTTTGCAACTGGTGGAAGGAATTGACCAAAAATTGATATGCTACTTGGATATTCTTTGTCACTCTCTGCGTTGAAAGTGGCCTCTGCTAAGTGTAACCTGGAATTCTTTTATGTTCAGAGGCCCCGAATTTTCTCTAAGATACACCTGCGGCAACAATTATCACTTATCCAATTGAATGCAAATTTGTGTACTTTCATAGTATCTGAATCAGACTGGTACCATCTTTAAATATGCTATATATTATGGCATTTTAAAGAGCTTGTATGTTGTTGTGATAATGATTGTTACTGTGTATTTTACTTGTCAAGACGCAAAAAGAAGAAAAAGATATTCAGCCTGTTTGGGTCCGATTTTTTCACCCAAAAAGTTGATTTTTTGACCGTTATTTCACTATTCCAACCGTCATGTTTGACTTCTTCTCTCACAGGTGGACCCCACTTTTCTCCTAACGATCAAAAAATCAATTCTCAAAATCACTTCCAAACAGGTTCATTATATTAAGCTCCTGTTTATTTCGTATTCTTTCCTTACTAAAATGAAAAATATGACTATTATCCATCACATCAAGTCATTAAATTTGAATTTTTATCTCTTGTATGGGTTCATGACGATTATATTTTTCATTCTGACTTTTACAGAAAGGGAAAACAAACACCCCCTAAATTTACCAATCTCCCTGGATAGTTGATGATTAGTATGTTGTATTTTATTTGCTTTGTACTTAATTTGCTTATTCCTTCTACAAATCAAAGAAATCATGAGTTCTTTCGTATCTTGATACATACTTTTTACTTTTATACGAATTCAAGTTTTAGTTCAGCATAATCATTGTCAACGGAACGTGATTTTAGCCTTGTTTGATGTTGATTAAAATCTATAAAATTTTGAAATTAAAGTTAATAATTAATCATAATTGTAACTTTTTAATTTTATAAATTATCAATTTTATCAAAATTTACTAGAAATTTGACATTAGAGTTTACACCAAATATGGGCTTAAAATGACAATTCTTTTGATGGACCCATTTAGTCCCGTTGAGTTCCATTTTGCCCCTTGCTTTCAAAAAATAATTTTGTACATAAATAAATAAATAAATAATTCATATTTTTTAATTGAAATTCTCAAAAAAATAAATAATAATAATAATAATAATAATAATAATAATAATAATAAATCATTTTTAACAAAATCAATAAAAAAATTTGGCTTAATATCCAAATGGATATATAGCCCGCGTTTGTTTCCCATTCTTTCCTCGTTAAAATGAAAAATATGATCGTTATGTATCACATTAAGTAATCAAATTTGAATTTTCATCTTTTGTGCGAGACCTATAAAAATTATATTTTTTATTTTTATTTTTTCAAAAATGAAAAACAAACGGGCCCATATATTTGAATTTAATTGTAGAACAGAAATATTAATATCTTGAATCTAGACAACTAGACAGAATTAATCCAAATTCAAAAAGATTCAAAGTAGTATATGTACTCGGATCATCAATTAAATCCAATATCGGCGACACAAAGTCGGACATAAATCTTCATCCATGAGTATTATATAGATCAACAAAAGATAGCATAATTTTCGCGTAAATCAGAGTTAGGATTTGTCGATCTGTACTGTAATTCGATTTAGTCAGTAAAATGTGCTCCCAATTCCCTCTAAAATAACCAACAATCTGCCTGCCTTTACTTTTAGCACCAATCAGATTACAACATTTAGTGGATTTCTGTTGCTCACTCTTTGGACTGTAGGGTTTTTCACTTTTTTTCTCCCACATATGCAATGGTGGTAAAGTTGCGTTTCCGTGTTAAGTTGCCTTTTTCGAATATCGATTTACAGCTGTAGTTCAATCGTGGGTAAGTTTTTCTTCAAGTGATTCTTGATTATTTTTGCCTTAATAAATTTATGCTTTTTTGCTACTTTATGATTTCCTTGATCTGCTTCGTTATTTATTTCTTCGTTTTCTTTTGGGGTTTGGAAGTTGCGTTGTACATGAAATTCTTCGTCCCGCCAGTGAATGTATATTATTTCAATTTTATTATTATTATTAATTTATTTTTGTTTCGTTCATTATTCGATATGTTCATTATTCGATATTGGTACTTAGCTGGCTCACTCTTTCTTGTTTCTTTTATTTTTAATTAAAATGCTACTGCACTTTATTTGCTATGTATTTGTTATCTGATTCAGTTGATTCTTTTGCTGGCGCTGCAGTTTATCTAAATATATTTATTTTCTGAAATCAATGATTCAAATCTAGTGAAGAATTCTAGGACTTTGCAGTAACGCTCTCGGTCATATACAACGTTTTTGTGTGTGTTGCCCCGGATTATTTGTGTCCCCACAAACACACACAAAACACGCATAAGCAGACACCCCCTCAAGAAATTTACAAGTAAAAGGAACATGTCACAGTTTTTTGTTCATATTTGCAGGTTTGAAATCTTGGTGTGGTTAGAACATGCATGTGACTAAGGGTGGCTGGGTTGGGCAAACTTTTGCCCTTGCTGTGAATGATGATTCAAGAGGAAGGAAGTCGAGGACCAGGCGTTCAAAGGAAGAAAGGAAGGAAATGGTTGAATCTTTCATAACGAAGTAATTTCTCTGTCCCTGATGATCGTGTATTTGTGTGACCTTAATCATTATCAAGAGCGCGTTTGTTTGATCTTAAATCGTTTAATTATAAATAAATAAGTTTTAAGTGAACAATTTTTTTATTTGTCAAAGTTGAAAATATGTAAGTTAGAGGTAAGAGATGCTTTCAACACAATTAACATTTTAAAGGTCAATCACATTTTACTAGCCTTACATGCTCCTCAATTAATTTGTTATTTCTCTATTTTCTGTTGTCTCTCAGGATGCTTCAACCTGCAAAGTGCAAACCATCACAAACACCCATTTTTAACAACTAGCAAGCTGCTGTTTTTATATAATCCTTCTCGGGTATATCAATTATGTGATGCCATGAGTTGAACAGTTTAAAAATACCTGAGTAAAAAACAGTGAATGAACCATAGACAGTTAGTCAAATATTACTAGTATTGTAGTTATCCTAAGCCAACAAGCAGATCTTAACACAATGTGAATGTAGCAAATCTGATTGAACTGCTAACTTTCTAAGATGAGATTTTCGAGAAGATTAATGTTTTATTGCATACAAGTGTAACAATTAGCATGAGGGTGTGGTAGTTGGATGGTCGGAGTGTTGATTTAGGGTACATAAACTTAATTTGTATCTTCCCTATGGCATGGATCTTTACCACTTGTGGGACATGGAATTCCATCCCCAAAGCAACATATAGCGTGGAGTAGCCCAACTCCCCTGTAAACCCAAGTCCATCCACATGTCTAGCAAATGTGAGAGTGTGAGACTTCTGTTTTGCACACCTCCAAAACTGATTGCTATGTTGCTACTCTTTATGTAGTTTGAATTTGATCATTCTATATCCTGTTGTTTTTTTTGCCTCCTTGTTTTGGTTTTTAGTAGTACATTGCCACTGAGATTTGTTTATTCCTTGAATGCTTGCAGATATCAGAAATCAAATAATGGGAATTTTCCATCACTTAATCTCACTCACAAAGAAGTTGGTGGATCTTTTTACACAGTGCGAGAAATTGTTCGAGAGATTATTCAAGAGAACAGAGTGCTTGGTCCAGCTGAGTCATATCTGAAGGAGCATAACAAGTCTGAGTTTCTGAAACAATACCCGCTGGGATCTATTTCTATTCAACCCCAAATTGATTTCTTATCAGATAAAACTCATGCTGTAATTGATATCACACCTGATGATCATCAGGTTACAACTGAAAAGCACATTTCTATCTCTAATGGGGCATTCCGTGGACCTGAGTCCTTTGCATTTGATAATGATGTTAATTGGCACAGTCAGACAGTTCAGGAAAAAGAAGGATTAGGTGAACTGAGTACAAAACACGATGCACTCATTCCTCAAGATACCAGCATGGAAGAGGTCTCAAAAGCTAGTACGCAGTTTTCTCAACCTAAGAGTCAGGAGTTCGAGAATGAACATATTGCTAACAGTAGTGTTGGGCCCAGAACTCATCAAGAATGTGATAGGCAAAATTTTTCACAATTTAGTGGGGAAGTTTCTGAACCTGGGACTAAGAGGCTTAGTGATGAGCAAATTGCATATGAGGATCAAATACTTGGAAGAAGAACCGAAGAATACGGAGAGCTAGTAGGTATGGAGTCAGTAGTGAGGGTGAGTCTGGGTAGAGAGAAAGATGGAGCCGAACAACTGAAACAGTCAGAAGCTGCAATATCTCCTGTTAATGCTGACGATGCTGTGGAGAAATTCCCAATGAGGCCTCTTTCTACAACTCATGATGCAGATGGAGGATGTAGTGAATCAAGAGACATCACTGGAGCTTTGGGATATGGAGCAACTCAACACGGCGGAACATCTTTTGAAAGCATTTCTAGTTTGATGGATGAAAAGGTGGATGAAAAGTTTCCCCGTTCAACGCTGAAAGGGAACAGTGAGTTCAGGGATGAAAAACCACTGAAACACAAAGGCCTGTCTTTGGAAAGTTTAAATTGCTGTGGAACAGATGAAGCTACTGCACCTGATATCCATGGCATTAGAGACGTTGAAGTCGAGCACTCCTTGCCTGATGGAACCACGGTAAGTAGTAGAAGGCAATTCTTGTCTTCTTTAATTGGGAGTCAGAAATTGGTATGTCATCTTCTCTGAGAAACACGGATGCTTCTCCTAGAGTGGCATGTCCGTGTTCATGTCCAACAATATGGACATTGACACTCCTCGAATACTCAGGATCACGTTTCTAACATGCCACATGGTGTGTCCTATTCTATAAATGTTGTTTTTACATTCTTGACACGCCATGTAGCATGCTCTGCGTCTATGTTTTTCATTTGTGACACGCTGAGTACATACCATAGCACATCAGACCTGTCAAGCCTGATTTGTTAAATTTTGGAATATAAAGTTTTAATTATTAAACTATTTGCGTAAAAGAATCAACATAATGGGAGAAAAAATTATAGAAACTTCTTGTTTATGTGTATGTATGATTGTATCTACTGTATGCAGTTTTTAATGCATTAATATTTATATCATCTCACTAGTGATAAAGAGCAACAACAAATATTCACTCATATTCAGAAGATTTTATCTCCGAAATTCAAAATCAAAGCTAAAATGGATTTTAATTTTATTGAAAAAATTAAAAAAAATGATAAAAAAAATATTATCATATAACTTTAATTGAGGTATCTGTCTCTTGCATTCTTGAAAAATATGTGTCCGCATGTTCATGTTGTATTGTATTCATGTCCTGTGTCTTTATACATTCTTTATGTCATCTGCCTTTTTCTTTGTCTCTGGTATTTTAGAACATATCTTTGAGATGCACGCATAGTCTCCGAAGGGAGTATTTGATGGTCAAAAACAGATTTCTTGAATTGCATGTATAAACATGGTTGAAAATCATATATGGACTGATGGACTTGTTAATCCGGAATGCTGGGATAATAAAATGAACTAGACATTGTGGTACTGGAATTGAAGCTCTGTTGTTGTACTTGTATCTATATCCAGTCTCTTTTGCTTTTGCAGGCCAGTGACTCTCCTGAACGGTTGAATTCTGCGGAGTCCACTGCAGTCATGGAAAAGCTTAGCATCTCCTATAATGACAACTGTCTGAAAGAAAATAACACTATGAACCCGTAAGTACCTATAATGAAGCACCTCTTCATGTTTCAGTCAGTATCAAAATGTTTTACCTTTAAAGAACTCATTTTCCGCAGATTTTCGTGCTTTGTGGAGTTCTTTCGTCTAATAAGTTTCCGTTCTGCATTTTTGTTGTAGGGAAAAAGCAGAAGGAACGTCGTCGAAGAAAACCTCTGCACCTGAAACCAATACTCTTTGGGCTCTACTTATAGCATTCCTGTTGGCTTTTGTGAAGTTTTGGACTAAATAAGGCGTTTTTCTTTCAGAACTTTCGTGCTCTGCATTTCTGCTGCTGTGGTTAGATTAGTGGTTTTAGGCTTCCGGTAGAGTTTGTTTTGGTATAATGTATAAATGCAGAAAGCGTGCCTCTTCTTCTGTCATTAATGTAAGACAAGTTTTGGTATAGGTATTTGTCGACATTGGTGGATGGGGAAAATTTTCTAGAAGTCGTAGATGTGGGAGAATTATGTTATTGGTCATTCAACTTGCATTAAAATGTTATCAAAGTGACCCAACTTCAAATTTATTTTATTTTTCTATTTTTAATGAAATTTGGAGACATTGGTAAAACTTTTCCGATAATTTTGACCAAAATATTCAGAACTCTGATCAGGAACTGCACCATAATGTGTCTCCTTGCAGATTTTAATTAAAATGTAACTTATTTCGACGTCCAACTAAGGGTTTTAACCCTTGAGTCCCATTCTTGTTGTTCAGCGAAATTGTCAAACTGCTTCATATTCTCCTAATTTTTAACGAGGCGATTTTAATTTTTCACACGTCACGTGGCAATCCAATCCTCCAATGTTAAATAAATGAATTGAGTCCCTATTTGACCCGTTTTCTTTAAAAAAAAATATATATATATATATATTCTTAAATAGTGATTTGACATTATTTCAATCACATATTATTCAATAAAATGATATTATACGTAAATCTAAAACATTTCTTTATTTTTTTAACCACACATTTTTCATCACTGCTATGTTAAAAAATGCATTTTCAATTCAATAATGGGCTCAAACAAGGGTTGAAAAGTTAATAAAATGTATGAACCCCTTAAAATGTCTTCTTAAATTAATTATTAATTTAAATTTAAATTTATGTCACTTGTTTAGCTAAACCAAACAAGGGATAATGACTTGCGAAATAATAATCCGATAACAAAGCCTTATTTGGTCCCTCCAAAACCCTACGCCAACTCGAAACCTCAAAACTTGCAGAAGAGAAATATTTCCTCGTCTTCCCTCCACCGGAAACACTCCAATGGCTGTAAGTACTCGTCAGTGCTCCTCCGCATTTACTAAACTTCGATTCCTGTCATGAGTATGGGCTTCATGCTTGTCGTACAAGATTTTCTTTTTACTTTTTTTAGTTTGGTCTCAAGACTTCGTGAGGATTCTGCCTATTTTAGTAATACTAGACAATTTGCTGCATTTTTTTCTGCAATTCAGAATTGTTTGGTCTTTTTGCAATTCCACAAATGAATCGGTGTTTTCCTTTTTTTGGGGGTTTGTGCAACTTGCCTTTGGAGTTATTGATTTGAGAATTAGGTCCACAACAGTTAATTGAGAGTCTTGAAAGTTCCAGCTGATTAGGTAGCTCCAGGGTTCAGTGCGAGTGATAATGGAATTGACGGACTTTTTAGTGCGAACTGAATTAAAATAGTGGGATATGTGGGGAAAGGATAGCACTTGAACCTTTTATTTTTCCCCTTTGTGCCCTTTTGGTGCAGTGCTTTAGGATGTCCTGAGATTTGAGCCTTAGGTGTTTCTTGAGTTAGGATTCATTCGGAGCCTTACAGCCGCTTTCGGATGTCCTGAGATTTGAGCCTTAGGTGTTTCTTGAGTTCGGATTCATTAGGAGCCTTACAGCCCCTTGTCAAGGCTTACATTTTGAATTACTGAAGCACACCTCAAGGCATGAGAACTCATGGCGGGTAAGGCTTGTATTCCTTACTCTTGCCTTTCCTGGGCTCTCTTTTACACCACCTCAACTTTTCTAGTTGCAATAATACATCTAATTTGTTAGAAATATTTTATTAATGTTTATGGTTTACGGTAAGAACAATTTTATACTTAAAATTTTTTATTAATTACATTATTGGTTTGTGTTGAGGCTGAAGAGTCAAATTTAATTGAACCTTGCGCTTTTGCCTTGTGGAAGCAAAACGACTTCACACAAGTTATGCTTTTTAGTATTTGTTTTAAGGGGTGGGGAGATGGAGAGTGTGACTGTTGGGAGAAAAGGGAGCAGATTGTACAGAGCATGTGTTTACTTAAGCATGGAGAATTTAAATATATATGTGTAAGCATATTACAGCTTGGCATTTCTGGGTTCTAGTGTTTTGGCAACAGGAGCTGGGGCCAGCTTTGTAGAATTTCTTGAAAGTCCACTATGTTGTTCAAAAGGGTTGGGGAATGCGGACTTCTAGTACTTGGGCCCTGTTCTTCAAGTACTTGGGGAGATCAAATAATTTGTGCTTTCTTGCCTTCTATAATCATGTTTAGCTCTACATAAGAAGGCTGTGTCAGAGAATGTTTGAAACTTTTGTGTTGTAACCACCTAAAATTTCGGACTCTTTGTGTTATTATTGCAGTCACTTGACAGAAGGTCGAGTTGTTATTTTCCGTATGGTAGTAATGGGTAGAAACCTGTTGGAGAATATCTGTTTTCCAATCTCCCATATCATGAGGTCTTTCTTCTTCTAATTTTCTTTTTCTTCTTTCATTTTTGGGGCGTTAGGGGTTGAGTTCTGTAATGATCCGACATATGTGTCCAAGCCGTTAATTTACGTACTCTCCGCTTTGGGAGAGCATAAGCTTATCTTACCCCTCATGGTATTTTTGTCGCGTTCCCCAAGATTCAAACTCTTAACCTTTCCCTTAGGAATGACTTAAGTTGAATTTCATATAATGTGGTATGTATATATAGCTCAGGAAATTACACTAGTAGCCCCTCAGCTATTGGCCGATATGCAATTTGATCCCCTAACTTTCATCGTCTTGCACTAGGGCCCTAATTTTCACAATTAAGACTATAAAAGATTTTGGGGGTATTATAGGTTCGTACCCACCCACTTTCGTCTTCTTGTAAACATATTCTTCATTCTTATCTTAATTCCACTCAAACAAAATTGAGGTCAGGTACTTAGAGTGAGAGGTAAATATGTCTTTGGCGTGCCTCTTTGTTTCATACAAGGAAGTAGGAGAGAACCTATGATTTATTTTTCCTACTTTTTTAGAATTGTTTAATTTGTTCTTGGAAATTGCATCTGACAAAAAAGGATGTATCTAGTGTATGCTGTTGCTTTCAGATTACAAACTTCACAGGAATATTAAGCTCCTGACATGACAGTTCTATCATTTCATTGATTAAGATTTGTAATTTTTTCATTTCTGATAGTTATTTTTGCCTGGGACGAGATATGGTATGTTATCACAGCTGAATTTTTCTGCCCGAAAAATAGTACATTTTTCTTAATAATTGCTTGTCTTTTGATTAGTGCATTATGAAGTAATTTTCTTAGTTCCCTATAACATTAGTTTGTGGTGTTCTGAAACTTCTTTATCCGTTATACTGTTAGACTGTTCCTGTCAATCCCAAACCTTTCTTGAACAATCTGACTGGGAAGCCTGTCATGGTAAAACTTAAGTGGGGAATGGAATACAAAGGTACCATTCCACTATTAATTTTTTAATTTTATATATAGTATGTGTGACTACTGATATGCACAATTATATCCCATTTGTCTAGTTAATAATGAGATAATTTTTATTTTCATTTGAAATTTCCTTTCAGGTTTTCTTGTCTCTGTGGATTCATACATGAACTTGCAGGTATTTCTATATATTTTCAAATACATTTAGATTTATGTTTATTAGGTCATGCCTATATGGTCTTATGTATGGGTGTTGGCTTTGAAGTTTCATGATTTCAGAATAAGTGTAAAAGGCAAAATATTCATATGTCTAAGCTTTAATTTATCTTTGTTTTACATGGCAACAGTGTTGTCTCATTGTAACGTAATGGGAACCAACCTCAAATTTATAATGTAATCTCCACTCTTATTCAAATCATAACATGTTTCTGACATCAAGTATGTATATACATATAGTGGGCAAAATATTCTTCACATTATGGGGCTGATTTGCAGATATTGAGCTACCATGTTCAGCCCATCTTGGATTATAAACTTGTATAACTTTATCAATCATTTTGGCACATTTGCATTCTATAAAACGTTTGTAATAAAATTGATAATATAAGGGGTGTTTGATAGACATTTTTATGTAAAAATGCATTTTAGAATAGTAAATTGATGTGAAATGTGTGGTTGAAAAATAAGGAAAAGTTTTTGATTTACGTGTAATATTATTTTAATAAATAATGTGTGGTTGAAAAGAAGAGAGAGAAAAATGCATTTTGAAGAAAATGGCTACCAAACAGGCTCATATTCAATAATTTTTGTCATTTTCATGCTGTAACATATGAAAGTCGTACAATGTTGGTGCTGCAAAAAAAAAAAAAAAAAACACCCATTGGGCTTTAAGCACTCCCAACCATGCTCAACATCTGTGTACTCATTAGTAGTTAATCATCATTGTTTCAAGGTCAGTCTATGCACTCATCTAGATAATATTTTTCCTTGTTCACTAATAATTTGACTAATTAAACTCATGTTTGTATAATCAATTCTAACTATTATTTGCCCATCTTAAAAATGGTGATTTTATAAAGCTTTGTTGACTATTGCAGCATTCACTTACCTACTTACTACTCATGTAAAACTTCACAGTAGTGATAATATATTTAACATAACAAATAAGTAAAAAAGAAAAGATATTTAACATGTATATAAATAAAAATGAATGGAGCGAGAGCACCTCGAGGGAGATTTTGTCCTCATTCTGTACATATTTGTTAAGGCCTATCTTATGATTGATGTAAAATATTTTTGGCAGCTGGCAAACGCTGAAGAGTACAGTGATGGACAATTCAGTGGAAGTCTTGGAGAAATCTTAATCAGGTACTCTTATTCAGATTATACCATTCATTTTTTCCATTAAAACAGCATTCCCTGAACATTAAGAGTTTTATAATCCCGTATCAGAATTGTCATAATTTATGTGTACTTGTACATATTTAACATACTTGTCTGTGGTTAAAGCATTCAAAGAAGATTGTTGGAAATGGAATCTTAGACCATGGTTGCATCTTTTTCAAAAAAATTGAAAGAAGAAAACAAAAGTGAATTGGTATCTGCTTTCAGATTTGTTAAGCACTCATTGAGACGTTCTTTATGTTACTTTCATGCAGTCGGTTCAAGCCTAAGAAGCATCGATAATTGTAAACTTGTTACGTACCCATATCCAATACGTCGATACTCTTCGATACTCTCCAATACCCTCCGATACCTACCTGATAGTTGTTTTTTAATTATTTTATATATTTTTACGTATCCCATCCATGTTTTTTAATTATTTTATATTTTTTGTATGATTTTTGATACGTATCCGATATTTCATGATTAACAAGCACCTTTACTATAAAATACTGCTTTGAAACTTCTTGTGCAACCTTCTTCTTCATCTAGTGCCATACTCTTTTATACACTCTACGAGAAGGTATAAAATAACCCTACAACGAGTTGAAGAATTGGTTTTCATTCATAGCAATTTACGTCTTTTATAAAAAAAAAAATAAATAAATAAATTATATCTTTGTTCAAAAAGAGAATCCAAAATGTGGGACATTGTTGGAAACTCTTTTCATACTCTTGAAGGTGTTAGATTGTTTGAAGTTGCTAATCTATCATTAGATCAGTCAAAGTTGAAGATTGTTATTTTTAATAATAATGAAGAAACTGTTTTTGATGTTGAAGGAAATGAAGTTTCTACAATTAATGATTAAGATAAAGTGCTTTGGTAATTTGTTTATTTTCATTATCATGCTTCTGTATTAATTTTTTTAATATTAATAAATTTACGTTGAATTTTATAACACATATTGACGTATCCTAAGTTTTTCAAAAAAGTTGTATCTACGTATCTGTATCGTATCATACCCGAATTACGTATCTGTATCCGTGCTTCTTAGGTTCAAGCCGTCAATAAATTTTTTTGGCTTTTGTTGTCTCTTCTACTCAGAGATTCTTCTTCTGGACAACGTAGCATGTGTGTGGTTCTTTCTTTCACTTTTCCCCCCCCCCCTCCCCTTTCTTTCAGCATTCCCCCCCCCCCCCCCCCTTTTTGGGGTGGGGTGCTGTTGAAGTTGTAACAGGATGTAGATCCTCGTAGTTGGTACTTAATTCATTACAAGTTAGATAGAGATTATGATGTCGATCTTTCTGAATGAGTGGGTTTGTTTCCACGGTAAGTAAAACTCAAAACAAGAAAGAGAGATGCTGTTGCCATGCATTCTTTGGAGGTTTACATGTTACGTCTGGTTCTTGATACTTCAAAAAGCTAAGATGTGAAATAGGGTTTGTAATGTTCTGGTCTTCTTCATAGGATTTTGATGCGCTTGAGCTTAATATTGTTTGGCCAAATGAATAATTCAACATGTATGACAATTTTTGGTAGTGAGAATACTCGGTGTTGAAGAAGAAAAATGAAAAATAAGCTGTCCTTGCATTTTTTTTCTTTTCTTTATCTCCTTAAACTCTAAGCAACTGAGCCATATCTGATACAAGCAAGTATTCGCTGGGGTAGGACTGGAGGTTGTTGAGGGGGGTAGTTGAGGGTGTAGCAGGATGTAGATCCTTGTAATTGGTAGTTAATACCTTATGAATTAGAAAGAGATTATGGTGGTCAATCTTTTGGAATGACTGGGATTGTTTTCTACGGCAAGTAAAAACTCAAAACAAGAAAGAGAGCAATTCTGTTGCCATGCACCTTCGGAGTTGCCTTGTTAGAAGGTCTTGTTCTTGATACTTCAAAAAAAGATGTGAAATGGGACTTGTAATGTTCTGGTCTTCTTCATAGGATTTTGAGATGTGCTTGAGCTTAGTCTCATTTGGTGAAATGAAGATTGAGGAAGAAAAATAAGCTGAAATACTGTTCACATAAATTCTGTGTCGTTGCTTCTTTTCTTTATCTCCTAGAACACCGAGCAACTGCATATGTGATACAAGCAAGTATTCGTTGGGGTAGAATTAGAGGTGTTAATTGGGAGGAGAGTTTGTCTCTGGTGTCATTAGGAAGAGAAAATAGAAGGGAATCTACTGCATTTATACCTTTGTGCCGTCTATAAAATAGGTCCTTAGGCACAGACATGGATTGGATTTTTTATGTCATTTTTCTGATAATGGATTGCATGACCATGCATTTTCTTTCCTGCTAGTTCCTATCAGTTTCCATCCAATTAGAAAAAAGCGTAAATCAATATATATAATTTGAAGATGTGGCATTCTATATATAATTAATTCCCTCAGACAAGGAGGTAGCATTTTGGAATCCTTTTAGCATAAATGGTAAAACTTCATTTTCAATCGCACATTCTAATTGACACACAAGTACTACCTACTTATCCATTACTCATTTCTATCTATTTAAAAATTAAATTGTTCATGAAATCTTCTCAAATGGAGGCATATATATAATGAAACTGTTTCTTTGGAATTCTACTCTTTAAATTTATTCTATACATAAAATATTTATTTCAGTATCATTAAATACAAAATTTCAAATAAAACAGGGTTATTGACTGTAAGAGTATGTTTGGCTTAAGCTTAAAAAAAAAAAAAAGGACTTCTAAGTCACTTTTTGTTACCAAACATCGTCTGGCATGTTGGCCATGCTTAATTAAAGTAACTTGTAACTTTTTCTTTTCAAACATATTTGGATAATTCTTAACTATTTTTTTAAACTTATTTTTGGAACTAAATTTTACTTTCTGTCAAAATAAGTAACTTATTCTCAACTCTGACCAATAAAAAAATTCTTAAATTTATTACTTGATTATTTCTTTTGCAGATGTAACAATGTTCTCTATCTTCGTGGATTTCCGGAGGATGAAGAAATAGAAGAAGCAGATCGTGACTAGATTTTTCGTGTTGTACTAATTTTGTTCGGAAAGTGGAATTATTATCTCTGTTTTGTTAGCTTCCCCATTGAATCTCAAATTACGTGATGTTTAAATGCAAGTGCTAAGAGTGCCATCAGTTGGCTTGGTAAGCTCAAGCTAGACATTAGTATTATCATTGTGGATTTGAGGATTAAGATGTAATGGTTGGATGATCTAATGGTGAAATTGTTAAATTGTCTTGTGTAAGTCCTTTGATTTTCGATTAGTTTCTTTTTTCACTGAACAGTTATTCTTAATATTGTTAATTTTGTTAACGTCGATACTTCTAGTATGCATGTGCTGCGCAAAACTGGAAACAAGAGTCCATAGACATGTAAGAAACGAACATACATTATATTAGGTAAATTATATAATAATATTTGAAATAAAGAAATTCATTTTAAAAGGTCAACATTATTGAAAGATGTTTATATATTGAAGCATTCAATTGATGTAATCTGATACTTTCTCCTCATCCAAATCTTCGTTATCTTTGAGACTGAACGCACGTTTATACTTATCAATGTTGAATGTTAGTGTACGATCTTCTCATCAACATTTTTTGGATACACTCAAACAATGTAAATATAGACTTCTCACTTGCTAAGAGAGGTCATGATGAGTTTAAGATGGAGGCCGTACATTGATGGACTTGTGAGGAGTGTTCAGGTACTTTTGATAAAATTGGGGTTCGAGTTTGAATGTTAAAAAATTGTGGTTTGATTCTCTTTTACATTAGTAGTGGAGTTCATGATGCCGAGTGGGTTTGTGATGAAATCTTGAATCTGTGTTGGAGTGATGCTGTTTTGTTGATTCGAATGCTTAGTAAGATAGGTTGGACACAAAAAGTTGCATTAATTTTTAGCAAGATGTTTGAAAGGAATCCTGATTAAACACTCATCCAAATCCTAAAGTAAGATCTTTGAAGCAAAATTAAAATCTAAATAATTTCACTTTGCACTAGGTATGTTAATGTGATAAATTATCTTTAGTTATATTATCTAAATCAAATATTAAACACTATAATAAATAAATTTGTAACGCTAGTTTGTCCAATTCGGAATAAGCCATTTGTACAATGGATTTGTACAACATGCTCGACAATGGTGTAGGTGTCAAAAAAGTATTGATAAAAAAGAATATTTTTTAAACTGTCCAACGATAATCTGCCACGTAGCATGTTGTCAAACTTATTGTAAAAATCATTATACAACAAGCATGATTCGTCCAATTCACGTAACCAAATATCTCTGCCATTAGGTAATTAACTAGGTATAAGCAAAGTGGCAAAGCATTCTATCACATGGGTCCAAACATCAGAAGTGATAGGGTCCAAACATCAGAAGTCTTTAGAGATGAGATAATAATTAGATACAAAGACATTGTATTGACAAGTGTCATATGCATGGCCTTATAAACTACATTTCAAATCCAACATATAATCCACTCCTTGCTTTCTTGCCACTCTTTTTACTTGTTCCTCTCGTTCACTCCCTCCATTCCACCCACAGTTCTCCACTTTCAAGCTATTCTTTTCACTTTGGAACTCTCTGTTTAGTGTTTAGTTGCTGCTACAGTTTAATG